ACAGGGGCTGTGAAGCTCAAACAATTCCCAATGTTTTGATATATATATATATATATATATATATATATATATTGTGTATGTAATTTTTTTCTTCACAAAAATGTTCCAGCTCGATAGTTTCAGTGTGCAGGATGTAAAAATAGATGTAAAGGTCAACAAATGTTAGAATTTTAAGTGAGTGTTCCCCATCCTTTATGGTTTAGCCATTAATAGTACTGTGAAAGGAACACACTAAACTTAAATTGTAAATTACTGATAATGTTAACATCTGGATGAGTTATTTTTATTCTAGATTTGTTTATTTTGAATTTTTGTCTGCCTTTTTAAAGTTTAGCAGCCATGGTCACTATAAACTAAACTCTTGCTATGGACCAATTCTCCAAAATCATCTACTTGCATGCTCCAGGGAGGAAATAAGAGCATTTGGGTTTGGAGTGACATGATGGTGAATAAATAATGACAGAAATTTAATTTTTGTGTGAACTAATCCTTTAAATTTAGAGGCAGCTCTAGCGTTGTGTTAAAGGCTCTGCTCTAAGCTCAAACTATCTGTGCATGTCTGAGAAAGACAGCTGAAGTTTTTCAAGAGTCGGTGTCAAGTCGGCATTAAAGAGCAGATAAAAGACACGAGATACAAGAGCGACTAAGCTCACAGCTCTCTCTCGCACACACACGCCTGTGTTTTATCTCTTTACTCATACATACACACTGGGGAATGAGCAGCACCCATTCGCTCTCTCATGACATGCACGGCACAAGACTGATGAACGCCAAAATACTAGGGTTACCTTGCTCAAAACCTCTCCTCTAAGTATTAAACTTTGGCACGTAACGGCTGTCAGGGTGGAAATAAGTAGGAACCTTTTCCCAGGCCATAATAATGTGAGCCAAAAATAATATTTTATGTTGTTTAAATATAAAACATTTTTATATAACATCTTTAAATAATTAAAAATCTTATCAAATTAATGTTTTCTTCCAAATTACTTGCAAAGCCAACATTTTCACTGCCACTGCGACCAAAGAATAAGGTTTTCAAATTATTTTTAGCAATGTATTTTTATATCTGCCAGAAATAATATTTGTGTTGTTTAAAGGTATTGTCAGGCTTGTGTTGTGTTTTGTTCCCCATGTGCTCCCTGTGTCCCAGTGATTATGCCCATATTTGGTTAGTTTCCTGTTCCTGTCCTGATTATGTTGATTTAATTCCAGGTGTTCCCCGTTTATTTCTATTGATCCCAGGTGTGTCTAGTCATCCCCTCGTCTTGTCATGTGTTTAAATAGTTTTCCCTGTGTTCAGTTCAGCGTCCGGTATTGTCCATGTCTACGTGAGTTTTCCGTTTCTTTAATGTTATTAAACGTCTCTGGATTGATGTACTCCTTGTCTCCCTCAGTTCCTTGACACAAGACAGCAAATAAAATCAACAACTGTAAAACGAAGCAACTGCATAATTTATTCAGCCGCAATGCACTCTGGGAGTCAGTGAGTAGCTATACTAAGGCATTGGTAAACCTAAATGAGATTTGTTTATTTTGAATTTTTGTCTGCCTTTTTAAAGTTTAGCAGCCATGGTCACTATAAACTAAACTCTTGCTATGGACCAATTCTCCAAAATCATCTACTTGCATGCTCCAGGGAGGAAATAAGAGCATTTGGGTTTGGAGTGACATGATGGTGAATAAATAATGACAGAAATTTAATTTTTGTGTGAACTAATCCTTTAAATTTAGAGGCAGCTCTAGCGTTGTGTTAAAGGCTCTGCTCTAAGCTCAAACTATCTGTGCATGTCTGAGAAAGACAGCTGAAGTTTTTCAAGAGTCGGTGTCAAGTCGGCATTAAAGAGCAGATAAAAGACACGAGATACAAGAGCGACTAAGCTCACAGCTCTCTCTCGCACACACACGCCTGTGTTTTATCTCTTTACTCATACATACACACTGGGGAATGAGCAGCACCCATTCGCTCTCTCATGACATGCACGGCACAAGACTGATGAACGCCAAAATACTAGGGTTACCTTGCTCAAAACCTCTCCTCTAAGTATTAAACTTTGGCACGTAACGGCTGTCAGGGTGGAAATAAGTAGGAACCTTTTCCCAGGCCATAATAATGTGAGCCAAAAATAATATTTTATGTTGTTTAAATATAAAACATTTTTATATAACATCTTTAAATAATTAAAAATCTTATCAAATTAATGTTTTCTTCCAAATTACTTGCAAAGCCAACATTTTCACTGCCACTGCGACCAAAGAATAAGGTTTTCAAATTATTTTTAGCAATGTATTTTTATATCTGCCAGAAATAATATTTGTGTTGTTTAAAGGTATTGTCAGGCTTGTGTTGTGTTTTGTTCCCCATGTGCTCCCTGTGTCCCAGTGATTATGCCCATATTTGGTTAGTTTCCTGTTCCTGTCCTGATTATGTTGATTTAATTCCAGGTGTTCCCCGTTTATTTCTATTGATCCCAGGTGTGTCTAGTCATCCCCTCGTCTTGTCATGTGTTTAAATAGTTTTCCCTGTGTTCAGTTCAGCGTCCGGTATTGTCCATGTCTACGTGAGTTTTCCGTTTCTTTAATGTTATTAAACGTCTCTGGATTGATGTACTCCTTGTCTCCCTCAGTTCCTTGACACAAGACAGCAAATAAAATCAACAACTGTAAAACGAAGCAACTGCATAATTTATTCAGCCGCAATGCACTCTGGGAGTCAGTGAGTAGCTATACTAAAGTCATGAGTATACCTAAATGAAAGGATCAAGTACCCCCTACAGTCCCTTTTATTTTTTATTATTTTTTTATTTTTTTAAGTAAGCCCATCTAATTCGATTTTACAGTGTAGTTTCTGAATGCAACGTATTCTATTGCCAAACAGATTTCAGGGTTGGGAAAGTTAGTAAGCCCCTAGCAACGACCAAGCAAATCGCATTGCATTGCACTAACTACTAAGACCACTTTACTAATTGCATAGCAACACCCTGAAAACCATTTATCACAGCCTAGCATCTGGCACAACTCACAATTCTTTCTTCAAAAAAGGGGGAAATTAAGCCTGTCACGATAACAACTTTTGTACGATATATTGCCCCAGAAATAATGGCGATAAGTGATAGTCATTTTAAAGACCATTTTATGCCACTGAATATATAAGCATAATGTAACAGCATAATGCAAGGAGGCCTACACACTTCCAAATGACAACAAACTTTTAATTTTTAAGAATATTTAGATCATGGAAATTATCAAAATATTAGATACCTTAAAAAATCTGAATAAATAGTAAATAAACATTTTCTAACAAAAAGTGCAAAGTAATAAGTAGAAAAAAAGAAAGCTGCACAAAGAACTTGTCTGGAGATTTTTCTATCTACAGATTTTTCCCTGACCTTCTTTTCTCTGTAAATGAAGGGTGCACACTATTGCTGAAAAACACAATCACTACTCAGCAGTCAGATGTCTGTATGCACAGAGGCACAGATCCCTAAACAAGACCATATCTGCAGATGAAACTTTTTTTTTGTAGAAGCATTTTTTAAATTTGAACTAGCACCTCATGACTACACGTTATGTACGAGAAGCTGCAAAAGACACTGGCGCAAGTGGAATGTACAAAACATGGTGACATTAATTTTTAAGTAAATATACTGGGCGATATAGGCCTATTGCGTCACCAAAAATTATTGAGGTCATGTACATATATTGCGCGATAAGTCGATATATTGATTATTGCGACAAGCCTAGAGGAAATCTAGCCTTTTTTTAATCGCATATAATTCATGTATTATAAATACTCAAAGGTCTTTGAGTGCTGAAACAAGACTGTGCGAAAACTATCTATGCATTTACAAAAAGAAAGGTTTCTATGCACTAAAGACCTAGGCAGTGATTTATAGGGAGCAGGAAGTGTCTGGCTGCTCCAAAAATAAAGGAGATAAAATATGAGTCGCAGAGTAGGCTGTTAATTGCTTTGCTATAAATACACAACGCCTCCTTTCAGACTATAAGGAACAAGTCCTCCTCCGTTGTCTTTGTGTTTGCGCTGCTGTGGATGTTGCAGAGCTGTCAGATTCCCGCGCCATATGGACTATTCAATTTCAATTCAAGTTTATTTGTATAGCGCTTTTTACAATACAAATCGTTGCAAAGCAACTTTACAGAAAATTAAATTTCTACAATATTTAGTAGTAGCTTATCCGTGGTGACTGTCAGTTTATGTACATATGGCAGAAATGTGCGGAAATATCAATTGAAGACGTAATCAAACAGACGATGAACACTTAACATCAATTATTATATGTTGCAATCAAACTTATAGCAAAATGTGGTAGTTCTGTAAGTTGTTTCAGGGTTGGCGTCATTGGACTATGACGTCATCCACGCGAAAGGAACGCCCCGCGTTCTGAATCCGGAGTCAAAACACACGAGTTTATCTTGGACTGCCTGTCTGTAACTCCATCACATTTGTGATAGTCTGTTTCATTTCACCGCTTACGAGTATTTTCTTGTAATGACCGCTGTGGTGGTGCACTTTGGGAGAAAAGTAACAGCTCTCTATATAAACTGCGCAACAAGTGTTTACTAACGTTATGTGTGTAAACAACTGCGTAATCCCAAAGAGTGGACATGAACGCGAAGCTGACGTATTTAAATATCTTTAAATGTGCTTTCACGCGCAACAGGTTTATTTTTTCACACGCGTCTGACTGACGTCGCGTCATGCGCGTTGCGTTTTTAGGGCGGTGGGTCAAGTTCAGTTTAAATGCTTTGCGCTTCGTCATTGAGTTTCTAAATACAATCATTATTTAAAAATAATTTACCAGAACACTTATATAAAGTTAAGAACAATACCTCAACACATGATAAATAGTGTTAAATAAACAATAACCCAATTAAATATTTTTCCCACGCACGGATATAAACCGCATGCATTTTAAATTAAGTTTAATAAAGTTTTATTGCTAGTTGAATACCAAAAATATGCTGCAGAAGGCTGCAAACCATTATAATATATATATATTGTGGAAAGGAATAAAAACGGAAAAATAATCATCTTTTACTTTTATTTCATTTAATAAAACAAAGCTTTAAAATCTACAACATGTTAATCACTTACTGAGCCAACCTCATTAATATATGTGCCAAATATGGTACTGTGACATGTTTTATGACATGCACAGCTATCATCTTTCAGAGAATTAAACTGCTCTGGTCACGTGACTCCAGCCATGTCAAATGTTCTCATGAAAGTTACGATAATTCACAACTTCGCGTAAAACGCGTCAAACTACTCTTTTCAGACCTTTCAAACGCATAAGTAAATATCGGAAAACTGAAATGTGCGCTTAAAATCAACTTCAGGTCACATCTTCGCCGGAGCTGATGGACTTACTTGAAAGTGAGGATGCAGAGAGGACGGTAGGATTTGTGGCTGGTGTTATCAGCCATCCGCTTGCCCCAAAAGTCATTGGTGAAGATGCTCCGGAGGCTGGAGCCCGGTCTGACATCTGGATTGTTGGTGATGGCCCATATATCATCATGCACGAACTCCCCCCAGAGAGAGTTACTGTAGCAGAGCGCGCACACCGCCACCAGCGCGGCGTACCGGACTCCCGCCGCCGGCCTCGGTAGCGCCGACAGCCGCTGCTGCACCGGGGGAGGAGCGGCTTTGGTCCCTCGGCTGTTCGCTGTCATGTCTGCCCCCGTCTCGCATGCTGCTCGTGGGAGTCAAAAAGAGGAGAGTCGTCCCGTTCCATAGCCCGTGTGCTGCACCGAAGCCCGGACGGCGGATCAGCTCTGAATGCGTAATATTAGCGAGTGTGAATGTGTATAAGGTGTTGAAGTCTATGTAACCCGCCTACCGGCGCATGCGCACAAGAAAGAGAGAGAGAACGAGGATGAGAAACAGAGAGACTAATATAAATGAGAGAGAGCGAGAGAAAGAGAGAGAGATGCAAATGAGAAAGAATGAGCGCGTAAGGAAAATAAAATAAAAAAAACAGATGGAGACAAAATGGAAACAAAAGAGAGATAGAGAATAAAATATGGAAAAAATATTATAGTTTATTATAATTTCCCCATTTAATATTTTTTAGCCAACATCTTTTACATTTACCTAATTTTTGCATTATTTACTTTTAAACATTCATTAACGTTTCATATTTTTTGTGTGGTTATCATATGAAAGCTTGTTTCCACTACAGGATAAAAAAAAATTAAAAGGTAATTGAGACTTTTTAATCTGATAATGCTGACTTTTTTCCTCACAATACTAAGTTTATATCTCAAAATTTGTCAAATTGTCTTTTTTTCTTACAATTCTGAGGAAAAAGTCAGAATTGCAAGATATAAACTTAGTATTGTGAGGAAAAAACATCTGAATTGTGAGATTTAAAAAAAATCACAATTACCTTCTTAATTTTTTTCTTATCCTGTAGCGGAAACAAGCTTTTATGTGGTAATCACACAAAAAATATGAAATGTTGTAGGCCTACTTACTCTTTTTTTATATTTATTGTGCATTCCGTGGCAGGGGGGAAAAAACAATTGCGAGATGTAAATTCAGAATTGTGAAGAAAAAAAAGTTACAATTCTGAGTTCATATCTTACAATTCTGACTTTTTTTCACTGTGAGATTAAAAGTCACAATTACTTTTATTTTTCTTTATTCCGTGACAAAAACAAGTTTCCATAAATTAGAGCTGAGAATAAAACCTGCAAAAGATGTTTTATAGCCATGTAATTTACTAGTATAACAAGTGTACTTTAAGCAAAGGAATATTAGTTGGTACTAAATGTTCAGATAATGTGCTTTGATATTAATGGGTGTAATATGAAGAATCGGTTGCTTTTTGCCGTCATTCTTTTGTCAAAATGGTGCACAAGTATTCTTGTATGACACTAGTTAGGTCAAAAGATTATGCTACTGATTCAATTTTATGATTTTTATAGTTTGTATAAATTGTGGTTATTAAAAAAAAAGATTGAACAAAATGGCAAACAGAACCTGAAAGCGTCTTACATTGTTTCCATAATATCTGTTATGGTTATAGCAGTATATTTTGGCAGAAACTATGGCTACCAAGGTGAAATTTTGGAGGAGAGAATGAGAACACAAGAAAAAAAGAGAAAGATAAATGCAAATTATGGAGCGAATGAGAGAGAGAGAGAGAGAGCGCGCAGGCAGGAAATCAATAAAGAGCTGTGGGATATTTCACACAATGATTGCACTGCCTTGACCGTGACCTGTGCTTCCACGCAGAACAAGTCATAAGCAAAGTGCTCTGGGTTTGGACTTGCTAATGGAACATGAAGACAGGGATAATGAATCATGATGATAAATGCACTTTTAAAGATTCAATGATGGGTGAACATCTGGCTAAACATGATTTTATGCAAGAAATGTTAAAATTACCCTTCTGGGGGGGCTGTTTAAATACATCTGGTGGCTCCGCTCCCTACAGTCAAATTGCTCTTGCAACCAGATTGAACAGTGAAACCGACTGCTGATGGTGCTTTTTTGCATTGTGAAATAATTTCCATGACAATTAAGCACATTTAAACACCTTCCACCAACTGTCAGTAGCAGAAGCAACAAAGAAAAAATAATAAATTATATTATTTAAATTGTGCATAAATTTAAAAATGCATAATTTGTAACCATAAATCATGGTAATATCTGAAGTACTGAATATAAAATATTTATATGTACATTTATGGAATACATTTATTGGAACAAAAATGTAAAAAAAAAAATATATATATATATATATAATAACAAAATACATTTAAAAAAAATACATTTTAAAAATTTAAATTCTATAAAATATAATTTCTAGCAAATAACAATGATATTTATATATAACTAAAAATATGAAAAAAATAAAGAAATTTCACATATTGCAATAAAGAATTTTGTGCAAAATGTGCTTAATTGTTGGAAAATTATATTTAAAAAATCATAATGGTACTAAAATATATTTCATTTTCTTAAAATAAAATGTACGATATAATTTCTTCAAGTTCTCTTTTGATTTTGGGATGAAATACAATCCGGCTAAATATGCTAAATAATATGATCTGGAAAATACACACAAATCAATGATTACATGACTGCATAACCATTCAAAAAAAAAAAAACTGCAAATGAATAGTGTTATATTAACTTTTATGACTTAAGTTAATTCTGAAAACGGACTGTTACAAAAACAAACTCTGAAACATACAAACATATGACAGCTATAAACATCGTCCTTCTGACATTTAGCCAGTGCACATGATCTGTTTGGGCAGAAAAATGCCTACATATCTCTGAAGGCACTGACCAACACCACAAATCCCTCCATCTGTGTGTCAGTCTGAAGCGGTGTCCGTCTGTCTCTCTCTGGCTTGTCTTGACATGTCTCACCTCACTGCCTAGGTCGAGTTTCTTACTGACTCATTGCAAATGGAGGAGAAACTGAGAGAAACAGAATATATAACATTCAAATACACACACCCCTCTGCACACATGCACAAACACCCATAATTCTGTACAGATGCGCAGACACACACACACAGCTTCAGGGAAGGGGTGACCCAGAGTAACCTCTTCGACTTCACTGGGGCCTTTCTGACCAGTTTTGACGATGTCTCAGTGTTCCTATTAAAAGTCATGGATCTGAAGAGCTTGCTTTGGGTCCTGGGTTAAAGATCCCATCCATCCTGACCGAGATGTCTCTAGTCTCCAGAGTTTAAGCTGTTTTCGGTGTCAGAACTCTGTACAGATCCAAATCCAAAGTGTCAGGTATCTCCAACCTGCAACTGGAACATCTCTACAGAGAGACGATGAAACAATCTTGCATTATTTCAAGTGTTTGAAGTAACAACAGCAGTCTTCAGACAGATAAATAATGTAATGTGAATGTTAAATGTGCTAGAGTGACGACAAATGCTTTTAAATACTTCATCTGTGTCACTGAGTACTATGCTAATGTTGCCGTTTTTTATTTCAAACGCTGTCAATCATACACATCACTGTTTCAATTAATGTCCCAACCATTCGAAAGCTCAAAATCATAAACCATAAATAGAGGCAGAACTTTTAGGCGAGACTGAAATAGATATGCAATACTAATTTAATAGTGCTGTCACTGTGTAATATTTTACTGTTATACTGTATTTTTGATCAAATAAATGCAGCCTTGAGGAGCATAAGAGACTTCTTACAGAAACATAATTAAATCTTAAATTTTAAACAGTAGTGTATATAGAATATTTGTACAAGATAAACATGCCAGGGAAAGCCATGCTTTCTGTGGAGTCTTAAAGCAGTTAACGCTGATGTGCTGCTTCTAGTTGTTGTGAACCACCGATCCACATCTTTGAAAAGGTCACACTTACCACAGTCCCTTGACTCCTGCGCTCCTCCTCTGCTGGGCAAGGTTATAGATCTCCTGCAGTTGTTTCCTCTGGTCTTCGCTTAGAGGTGATGTGAGGGACTGATACCAGCCTGCATCTGAACTCTGAACACCTGCAACAGGAAATTATTCCAATTACTGGTGCTGCACTTGTGGACAATTGTTGAACATCAATTTATGTTGGTGTTTAAATAAATTAATAATATAAAATGTTTTTCTTTTTGCAAAGAAAAAAGATGCATGCAATTTTAATGACCATGTTAATTAAGAAACTATATCGCAGAATTATTATACATTTTAAAAATGAATTTGCCAAACTATAGGATCATTTCAAATTAATTAAGTAAAAAAAGATTATTAAAACTTGTGGAAAATGTGATGAAATGATGACCAGGAAAAAATTTAAAAATATAAATATTTATCCCACAGTTAGATAAATAAATAATTAAACAAATATTGAGTCTTAAAATCAATACTGATATAGAGCAAAGGGAAAAAAAATTACAGTGAACTTATTTGACATCTGGGGAGTTGACGTGCCCTGCAGTGTGAAATGCAATACACAATTTTTAATTATTAATTAAATATTTATTATGAATGCAATTTTCTACGACCAATTTAATTCCGAAACTACAACATTAAACAATTTACTACACTACATGACTGCTTCAAATGAACTAGTGCAGACCAAAAAAATGCATACATTTTTATGCAATTTACTTCATAAATTTTAAACCTAAATCTTGATGTTGTCTAAAACAAGTGTATGGACATATTATGCATGGACTACCCATTTATTTAATATTCATCGATATGAAGCCAGATTTTGGACAAACGAGAAGTGGGTGGGGCTGTTCTATGCAAATATGGCATAGTGTGACATATGTAATTAATGATTAACAAAAAAAATGTGCATACGGAGCAGGGAGGCGGTGAAGAACTGATATTCATCCTCTCCGTTGTCATAGTCCAGTGGTGTACTGTACTCCTCTAATGGGGTCCCCTCCAGACCTTCATCATCCCAGTATTCATCATTGTCCTCATCATCTTCATCTTCATTGTCATTCCCAGTGGGAGCGCCCGACGACTGCAGGGCCACCCCTTTCTGTCCGACCTCATCCTCATCGCTAGGAATCTCCTCTGGAAAACAGACATGATGAATTTCCAAACTCAGAGTAGTACATTTCCAGAGTAGTGAAGAGGAGGGGCTTGGTGATGTAGTCTGGATCTTGTTGAAGTAAAGGTCACTTCTAAAAATAGACATTTCCAGTGTTTGAATCTCACACTACCGGTCCCAACAGAACAAAGCGAAAAAAGCCTTTGGAGAAACATTTTGGAATTTATATATTTTTGGTTTACAATGAAACAATAGCTACATACAAATTTGCATATTTTTCGCAGTATAAAGTACACCAAATTACGATTATTAGTGTGTCACAAACCAAAGTAAACACTGGAAGAAGCAATGGAGGTAAAAGATAATTCGAAGAATGTTGGTA